AGGCCAGGTCACGTCCCCTTCCCCCCAGCATGGCCAGATTGGTCCCACCATCTGCATGCACTCCTCAGAGGGTCTGAGCACCATCTGTCTGGCATACAGAGAGAAAAGGTTGGACACCACTGCCTGAAGACTGCAGAACCATTTGTTTATCCAGGCTATTTTTCTGCATCATGCTGTGCACTAGCATCTTCTGAATAACTTAATTATTGATAGCAAATTTTGTATTTCCTCACCTCCTCCCAGTGTCATGTCTTAAGTTATGCTGTAAACTCTTCAGAGTAGGACTCTTTGATCTTGCTTGTACTGCAGATCTACTCTATTGAGTCCCAAATAAATACATATTTAATTAGTAACTCTGTAAAACCTCAAGATGTAAGTGTATGTTTCTAAGCTCTTTTTAACACAAGTGCTAGTTTTATACAATGTAATAAAGAAATTGTAGGTTTTAAAGTTTCTAACTGACCCTCTTGCCCTTTTAGCTGAAGGGAGTGTTGTGTAATGACGTTACTGAGTCATGAAAATACCCAAGTTGGAAGGTGTGGTTCAAAGTCAAATGGCTTCATTCCCCCTCCTTTTTCCAGTGCATGCTCAGAATACATTATTTTAGAGGTACTGCTTTGGGCTATAGGGTGATTTATTAACCAGTTTAATACCAGCAACCATAGCCTTTTCATTCAAAGATGCAGCCACAGGAGAGGGAAGGAAAGAAATAAAGATAACTTCCTTATGCAGTAGTCCTGTGGCTAGCGCACTCATCCAGAAAGTGATCTGTGTTCTAGGCTCCTCTGAGCTTGAGCAGGTTCAGACATGCATCTCAGGGAAGGTGGACTATCTTCAACCCTCTAGCTGAAGTCATGCCAGTAAACAGATCTCTCGCACCCAGTGAAGAAGGCACTCACTTGAGAGGGAGTATCTCTAATCCAGTGATTATGGTGTTCTGCCCCAAATGCTGTTTATGCATTTTGTCCAACATGCTCTTTAAGAAAAGAAAAAAAAAAAGGGTAGGGGTGGGAATGCCAGTCATCCAAGTTTGTTTCAGTGGGGTTCATAAGAACAAAGGATCCAACCACCACAGAGCAGACTGGAAGATTAGAGCCTTAGACGTTTTATGTTAAAGGCATGCATTTGATCGGGCATATGACCCCAGAAACTATCTCGAGGATTACTTAATGAATACTTGCTTCCTTTTGTGGACCATAACTTTGTTCAAAATAAGAGGTATGGTTCCTTTCCATTCCTCCACTCAGATGACAGTGGAAAGCAAGGAGTTCTGGATAGTGACGTTTCTTAGGCTCTAAAAATCTTTTTAAAATAGTTTCCATTCAGCTTTGAGGATGCACATTCCCCAGTGATAGTTAACTGAACAATATAAGAGGGGTTTGATTTGTAATTAAAACTTGTTTTAAAGTATACTTATGATAGATATTATATGCAGCCCAAATGCATAGAACCATGGGTTTGTTTTCTGTGATAAGAATAGATTTGTTCATTCAATGCAAAAAAAAATATATATATATATATATATGGGTGTTATGAACAACCTTCTGTTGATGAGAAACTGTGGCAAGAGGAGTTTCTGCTATTCTGTCCCAAAAGGGAAAAAGCATTTAAAAATAAAGAATTTTTGTGGCTTGATGATCTCTCTAACCTCTCAAGTTCCACATGTAATTTAAAAGTACTAAGTAAACCTCTTCTTTTAATTCAGGAGCTTTCTGAACCATGCATAGCCCTTTTTGAAAAGGAAGATTTCCAAGGAAAGAAAATAGAATTTACTACAGAAATCTTAAATCTCCAGTTCCTGGGATACAATTCTCAAATAGCTTCAGTTCAAGTTTCTGGTGGCATGTAAGTTTAAACTTACTATTTACTTTTGTGAAACTAAGTAAATGTTAAATAGTACAAAAATACATGTGTAAATGAAAATAAGGAACATTGGGTTGAAATATTACTTCACAATTCAATCTTGATTTGCCAAGAGGAGGCTCAAAAGCTACTTCCTATGAGATGACATCACTGGAGAAGAAAGTGCTCTGTATCTTCTGGGCTAGGATGAGAAGCTTGAATTTGTATAAAACTGATGTGGGTATTGACTTCTTCATCCCATAGAAGTAAATATATAGGATTGGTGCCTTAAGGAAGTGTTCTTGCAAATTCCTCCAGTAGTATTGTTTCACTATATTGTTCCACCCCACAGTTTGTTGTGTACTGATTTCATGCAGGGCACTATTTACATGGGATGTTCTGTTCTTATCTCAATCAATAGGAAGCTGCTTTAGAAAGTCTCCCATATTTACTCCATTACCTAGTCACTACGAGTGAAGAGAGGATAGCTTTGGATCATTGTCGTTCTTCAATCTAAACTAGTGAGATTTCTCTGATTCAGTTTAGTGGGACTTTTTATTATGAAATTATTATGAAAATATTTTCTTTTGTTGGTTTACCTTAAACTCTTAAACTATGTTTAAAAAAAAATTATCTGATTTCATACATGCTGGCATACAAAAAATTATAAATGGCTTGAGGCAGTCTGAAAATTTTTCCTTTTCATATAGCTTTAATCTCCTTAGATCACACACTACAATTAGAATACTTCTGTTGAGTCTTCCTCCAAAATACCCATCTTAATTCTATAAATAAGTTTTTTTTTAAAAATTTTTTTTACTCTGTGAATAAAATTTGCATTTAAATAGTTCTTTAAAAAGTTCAAATTGCAGACTGATACCCCAGAGGAGTCCAGCACTGCCCTGAATTGGATGGCTTAACTCAAGCTGTCTTCAAGCATGCCTCATATTTGTCATCTGGACAAACTACTGGGAATATTTTCGTTTGCTCATTGAATAGAGATTTGAAGTTAATTCACAGAAAGAGGTCCTCAGGGGATAGAAATTCTGTTTTGCAAAGGATTTTGAATTTTTAGCATTTCTCTCTATTTCAAATAGAGAGGTTTTGTATCTATAACCTGCATACTTAAATACAGATCAGTTGAAAAGTTTTCATTTTGATTCTGATTTTTTTATTTTGTATATTATAAAAGTAAAACTTAACAACACATTTTTTAAAACTAAATAGTATTATGGGACAATTAAGTATCATTTAAACAAACAGAACTCCTGCTCCCTGTCTTCAGGCTGGTCTCTGTAAAATTACTATGATGGTAGAGTTAGAGCAATGCAATATATGGAGAGCAGAGCCAACAAGTGTTGTACAGTTACTATCCTGTAAGATTAACATAATACTTAAGTCTCAATCATGTATGCCTTTCAAGTAGAATTGGCTAGTGTTCTGATTTCTGTAATGACCATCAGGAAGAAGTTTTAAATTTCTTTGGAGAGGTATGAAAATATTTCCATCGTGACTTATTAATATTGGTCCTCAACCAGCTAAAGTGCAAGCATTTTCATAATTACTGAAAAGCTGCTTCTCATTTTCCATTACAGGAAATAATCTGAAGCCAAAGGCCAATTTGTTTCTTGGCCAAATATGTGGTTACTACTCAGTCACTAGAAGAACACCTTCAATTATGTGCACTTCCTATTCTAGGACAATAAACCACTGTGTTCTGGTTGTTCAGTGCCGTCAGAATTCCCTGCCCATGCACCACACATTGTGTTTGTGGCCAGGTCCATTGCTGACTCCTGTCTTCATCAGATCCCAAGCTTATTAAAACCTTCTCTGCTGCACCTTCTTCCCTACTGCAGGAGTTTTCACCAATAAGAGTAGCTCATTTTAAAAAAAGTAAATTTCATACCTGGTTATATATAATTGGGTAAGAAGTTTGGAAATTTAGGTACCCCCATATTTGGTGACTCATTTCACAGTAATGTAGAATAATAAGCATTCTGAGAACCCTTGTGTGTTAGAACTCCCGGGATTATTGCACACAAGGCAAAATCTGGCATGATGGTGAAAAAAAGCAGGCACTAAGTTATTTGTGCATGTCTGTGCACATCCTGACACTGTTCATTCATAAGAGCATTGTACTTCATACTCTTTTTAATCTAAGATAATGCTTTGTTTCATTTGGGGTGGGATTTATTTTTTTTATGACAAGATTTAGAAATGTGAACCCAAACCTACAACTCCTGGCATGGCTGCTATAAATCCAGAGATGATTTTATTGCTTTGGAGAGCAGTTGAAGATAAATATGTTCATTAGCACTGCTGACATAAGCGCACACTTTTGGTGCAATTAAACTTCTAAAATATCACTTAATATTTTCAGAAGCAGCCATCAATACATCTGATATTTCACAAGCATTTTGTATTTTCAGATGGGTAATCTACGAACATAGTAATTACAGAGGACGTCAGATGTTGCTATCCCCCAATGATATCCCAGACTGGTATAAACTAAGTGGATATCACCAAATAGGCTCTCTACGACCTTTATTACAGGTGAGAGAAGGGCACTGGTCTCCTTTGTGTGCTTCCTGTATGTTTATTGTTGTTGACTTTTGTTTTTGCAGTACAGAATTAAAGGCAACATTATAATCCTGTTGCAGGTCACAAAACAGAAATGGGGAACCTGGAAGGAACATTTTGAAAATTTTGTCTTTTACCATTCATAATATTTCTGTGGACTGTGCCCCTTGGTTTTGCTGTTCTGTTTCCCAAAGTCTAAAACTGTCTTCCATGTATACTTGAAACCAAATAAAAGTTACTTGTGAGCAAATCACTTTAACTGAATTGCTTCAACCAAGTGGTCAACCTTCTGAATTCCCCACTGGTCACAGACTATCTGTATCATCTTCAACTGTTCTCACAAATTCAACCAAATTGGCCAGGGAAACTGCTAATTTTTTGCCTAGGTACTTCAACCAGAAGCATTTAATCTGTTTTCTTGAAGAAAGCAAAAACAATTCTAGTCTGTTCTATAAACTTTTAAATATGTAAATTGATTAGTTGGTGACACTGTATAAAGTACCGTCATGACTTTTTTTTTGTAAAGATCATCTCATTTGAGGTTGAAGCATCATGACTACATAGATTTTTTAATACCTAGCCCATCCTCATAAACTCTAACACTGAAGGTTTATGTTAAATGATGCTTCATTGGGGGTGGGGAAAAAAACTTTTAGCAGTTCACATCACTCAAGTTTCAAAGCGCTTGGTATCTATAATGAATTCATTTGCTCCCTATCGTATAAATGTCTGCTCGAGCCTCAAAGACAAGGCAGAGAAATTAATCCAGAATAAATTAAGATGTGAATTTATAACACAGTAGCTATTCCACACAAGTGTGTAAAACTAGATCCTCCAAAGACACCCTTAGTGCATGATTGATAACAGTATCTGTACAAAAGTTAAGAGTGTAATTTTTATAAGAACCACTTGTTTGCATCCTGTGGACTATAGATTTTAAAGCACTGATACAGAATGAAGACCTCTTAAGCCTTGGGTCTCCTCAGACTTTCTTTTGTTTTTTAAATATCCCAATAGGAAATTCAGAGCTTTTTTGGGGGAGACAGAGGACAGGTCCCAAGTATTACATTGAGTAATACTGAATGCATCTACATGTACATATTAATGCGATGTAATAAAATTTGGTGCATATTGTGCCAAAATGTATTGCTCCTGGAACCTGTGTTTACATGTGCACCAGGGACCACAGCATGTTAAGCTGAGTTGGAGCAGCTTTGGCTGGCAGGGAACCTGTGGCCTAATAGGGCTGCAGGTGTAGACAGAGACTTTGCTGCGGAGCTAATTAGGCAACTCTGCAGTAAATATCTCATGTAGATGTACCCAGTAAGTAGCAGTTGCTTTGAGGTTAACCACAAACAAGATGTGTTCCTGCATGAAAGGCTATGGTTAAAATACTGTTGTTTTTATAGAAATGTATATACTTCAGACTTCGAAACAAGAAAACGGGACAGTTCATTTCAACTGATGGAAATCTGGACAATTTGAATCTTCTCCGAATACAGGTTTCAGAAGATAAATCAGATGATCAAATATGGGTTTATCAGGATGGATTCATCAAGTGCAGGGTGAGGTTAATGTTTTAGTGGAACTCTCTTGTTTTTATAAACATTGAATGATATATCTCAGTATAGCAGTCTATATAATTATGCAACTCAAAATCCTTTTAAAGATTCACAAGAGCACTGCCTGTTGTCTCTACAGTATCATATTTTCTTGCATACAACATCTTGGAATATAATATGTCTTATGTTTGGAAGACGGATTGAAGAAAAAGCATCTTTTTTTTTGTATTAAGTAACTGAGGCAACGTGCAAATTAAAGCTGTATAGAAACCAGCTGTAAAATTATTACGCATTTTCCAGTAATAACTTTATAGCTGGTTAGGCCTTTTTAAAGTGCCATAGTTAATTTGTAGCCACTTTAAATCGATTGTACAATTAACCAGATTTTTTGTGTGTAACACGTGTAACATCTAGAAAGGGCCTGAGTAGCAGCAGCCAAGGAGTAGAGCCTGCTTATTGTTCTGCTATAGATGCATCTTGTCCAGATTTTACTTTAACTTTTGCACTAACTGGCAGAGAATTCTTACCATATTTCTTGTACAGAATGCATGCTGCAATTCCCAGCAGCTGCTTTTTGGGAGGAAAAGGATATGTTGTATGCAAGAATATACGATATTTTTTGCCTTTTGGAAGCAATATATTCTCACTCTAATTAGGTCTTTCATTTTTTTCTTAAACCTGCATGCTATATGCTTTTATTTCTAAAATTAAAATGCACTTTATTATATTTTTTTCCATGTCATACTTCTCCATTTAACTGAAACACAAATTAAGTTTTTTTTACATTGAGCCTCCCCTTTTCTGAATGGCATAAATTAATGAAAACCAGGAACCCTGGTTACGTCTGATTTTAAAAAATCCCCAATTTTCAGTAGGGGGAAAAAAAAAGTAACCCCAAATTTACATTTTTCCATGTTTCATTTTAAATCACAGAAAAATGTGGATTTGGGGTTACTTTTTAACCAAAAATTGGGGATTTTTTTTAAATCGGACAAAACCAGGATCCCTGATGATAATAAACAACAACAATTGATATTCAAATGAAGAGTTTATTTTGTGTGTATTTAACCAACTAAAGACCTTTAGATATTTTCAATCCAGTATGATTGATTTGACTATTTCTGCTTCAGGTCAAATATACAATTAGGATCATAACATCCTATCTTCATAGATGGAGGAAAATAAATACCTAATGTTCCTTTTGTCGCATTAAAAATATCATTTAAGAAAATCAAACCAGGAAAAGACGCATCTTTTTACAATCTAGTGTGATTAACCCATTTTCAGAAATCCTTCTGCTCAAGCTTGAGCATCCTTCTCACATGAATCAGTTTTGCCAGTCCTTCATGGAAACTTAAAAGAGTTCCCCTGTAGGTTGCCAGCAGAAAGACAGACTTAGTCAATGCTATTTATTTCTCCCCCTCTCTCCCCACTAAGTAAAACCTGACTGATTTTTTTTCCTAGGGATAGAAAGTAGAAACCAGATCTGTTCTCTCCTGTCTATATCCTCCATCAGTGACGAGATAAAACTTGGGTACAGATGTTAGAAACAAAGCTGACTAACTCAGGTTTTGTGTTTTTAATTATACAGATGGTTGAAGAATTGTGCTTGACGATTGTAGGAAATCTTATAACTCCTGGCTCTAAGCTGGGTCTGTCACTTCAGCAGAATGAAGACAAACAATATTGGCATATTCATCCCGATGGCCGAATCTATAGCAAGATGAAACCAGAACTGGTTTTAGATATCAAAGGTAAGCACTTGTTGTCTTGTGTCACTTCTTCAGTTGCACATGTCATGATGGGCTTTGTACTTAAATGTTCCCATAAGTTTAAATATGGCTTTATACTTCAGACAATTTGATCATTTAGTATCACCTTCTGCATTACATAATTCTTTTTTACTCAGTAATTTCTACAGGCTCTTAATCCATAGATGTCTTTTTTTACCCCCAAAGTATATATTTATATTTAATTATTTGGAAAACCTAAGGTTTTTTAACTTTATCTGCATAAAATTCTTCAAAATATAAAATGTGGAAGAAAAGAAAAAAAAATACATTTATTGTTTTGATTTGTTTGGCCTGTATTTCTGCATATATGGCTTATACACTTAAGTAGTTGTTAACCTAAAGGATGTAAAATTTTATTTGCATTTTTCTTTTAACGCAAAAACAAGATTAATATTATAGTAGTGTCAGATCTGTAGGCACTTGCTGTTAATATATAACAGCTGGTGTTAAACTTTTTAAAGATTGTTTCATTTAGATGCAACTCTTGAGCTGTTTACTGTTTCCATTTTTTTTATATTCACAACAGAATTAACCCCTATTTTTGTTTTCAATATTATGTTTTTTGCATTTTACTTTTGTTTTTAAATTTAAATGATCTCTAAACAAGTCAGCTGTTTTAATTTTATTCTATTTAAAATGTTATTTGAAATAACATTGTACTGCTCATTAAAACAGCTGAGGGTTGTTTTTGTTTTTGGAAACAAAATGAGTAGAGATAAATATGGAATGTGTGGACACAAATGAAGCTTAAACAATGTTGGCTTTCAAAATTTGTCTTACACCAGTGCCTTAATTTTTCTCCCCCTACCCATCCCCACCCCTTCCAAAAGGGAAAGCATGACTATTAATGAGAAGTTTTATCAAAAGGAATCCAAGTCAACAGAGGCTGTTCATGACCCCAGGCAGAATTCTTTTTTCAATCTTAATTGAGCTAGTAGAAGAGGCAAACTATTTACATACTGGCTTGTCTTCAGTTAAACTTTTTTAAAAGGATGTCAAATTCATGCATTTAATTGCAAAATACCATGTTGAGTTGATCCAAAAGGTAAACTGTACATCTAAAGAGAGTGAGATTTAATATCCTAATATGCCTTGGAGAATGCTTTAGGTGTCTGTTCTCTTTCCAATTTTATGTCAGGCTCCTAAACAGTTTTTTTTTTTTTTAGTGTGTGTGTGTGTGTATATAACAAACTCATTGTGCATGTATAGATGAATGTATATACAATATAATAATATATATTTTATAACACAATTTCATATATAGATATTAAATATACATTATATATTACATAATTTTTTTTTAATGTTTTAAGATGCAGCAATGAGGAGTAAGCATCTTTTTTATATTATTTACTTGTAAGACTTAACTGTGACTGTCTTGGACTGACAGCTGCACATACTAAAAGGTACCCTTAAACTGTGGTAGTGAGTAGCAGCCAGATTATGATCTGCTGCTGGATTAATTCAGGAGAAACTTCAGTGAGATCAATGATATGATGAATCATAGTTGGGATCAAGACTCAGGAAAAATTTTAAAAAGTTACTTCTCTGTGGTGCTAGGGTAACTGGAACACTTTGTCAGCTGAGGTGAGGTGTTTAAGCCAGCACTGGTTAGAGGTTCAACAAAGGACCATTTTCTCCTTGAACTGCTCCCCTCTCATGTGGCAGAGACTGATTGTTGTGGCTTTCATGGGCAGAGTGCTAGATATTCTTTTCTCATACATTTACTTAATGGGATGGAAAGTGGTCTGGCTCTTTATAAAGAATAGTCCATCATTGTTTTGCCACCTAAAGTTGAAGTTGGAGCTATTATAAATCATATGAGAGCTGAGTAGAGAGAGAGCCGTCTCATAAATATGAAATAATAAATAGGTTTAATGTAGGTGCTTCAGACAATTTAATACAAACTGCACTTAATCCCTCCAATGGTGCTGAACCACCCTTAAGGTCTAATAACCTACCTCCATTTTTCAGCCTTACCATTCTTAAGTACATTTCCCTGACCAAAATGTATGGTTATGATGCCATCTTGTGGAGGTACTGCAAAAGTACCTGGCAGCTATTTGTCTGAAATTGCCATATATTTATAGATTTAAATTGTGTCATGTTCCACTTGATATCAAATCCAGATTATTTCATCTTCTTTCACTGTACTGTGCAACATACATAGTTGCACCTTATTCTGCAGTACTTCAAGAATGCGTATGCCATGCTGATAACTGTTCTGTACCTTTGAAGTACTTAGAGTTACTGTTTCCTAAAATGTTGTTAGATAAACGTTTATGTTGTTTTAACAAGCCAGATGTCATCTTTAACAGTGTTTGATTTCTTAATGAAAAATAAAATAGAGGCTTTTTCATGTACAAGATTTGCAAGATTTGCATTGCATCTAGTTGGAGTACAGGTGGAATTCATGGCGTCAGTAGGTCCTTATGTGATGTGGGGCTTGGTTACCTGAGACGCATTTCTTTTCCATGAGGGAGAGCTGTAAAGGGGTCTTGACAATTCAGTACACTTCTCTCTGAATCTGCCAGAGTCTGTATTTGTTGACTTAATATATTAAGGTGATTCCAACGATAAAGTTCACCCTTTGCTCAATCGTTTAGGGGGAGGATGACAACTTATAAGTACTTCTAAAGTACAGTTCATAATAAGTCATTATTATGGCAAAAAAATCATTCTGGAAGTAGTGCATATGGGAAAACAACTATAAGTAACATAGTACAGTAAAAGAAGGGAAAAAATATCTGACTTCAGTAGAAGAGCTGAAGCTAGGATTTTTCAAGCAGCATCCTGTGATATAAATATGGTTAGGAAGACCACCTGGTTCCAGGAATATTTCTTAATTGGAAAATAGGCAAACAGAAATGTGACGCATCATTTTTTGGTGGGTTTTAGATTTTCTAATGGTGTGT